CTGTTCCAGTAACTTAGGCATCTTACCATGAATATGATCCAAACAATCAACTAAGTTAACTAAACCAACACATTCTGTTTAACTCATTCTATCACTTGATATTCTTTACATAATACTCTCATGAGAGCATTTACAGCAGAGCAGTTTACCGTATCTCATTAGAAAAGATGCGAAGAGTACTTTCTGAAAAAAAATAGGTTGCCTTCATGGAAACTAATATTTCTTTTACAAAAATTTCACTCAGTAGAACTTTATAGGGGAAAAAAGGTTGAAAAATTATAGCAAAACAAAAATTAAGTCAAACTACTCTGCTGTTCCGAAACAAACCATTTGTCTTGATATACGAGCAAACATATCTCGAAAGCAGAACAAAAGTCGATTTTTTTTTGCGAGATGTAAACAGAAGTATCGCGTTGCAGTCGCCATATATGCAAATTAGAGTCAAGCTTTTTGACCTCAACGAAAACGCTGCAAAACATTTACATTTATATTTGGATCCCTGCAAAGTCACGCAGCCCACACATGAGTCCTACGCCACATAGGATTACTCAATACAACTAAGCAATCTGAATAAACGAGATGCTTAAGGTAAAACTGGCAATCGGAAGAGTATTTAGCTATTTAGTTGCAACTGAACCACACTGGCCTCAAATTTCTAGTATACTTCAGAATTTCTTATGATACCTTCTGAGTTGTTTTTCTCCCAAAATCCATCTTCAGGATCTTTGAAATCATTTTCAGTTTGTCCTAGATGAGAATCTCAGCCATTTCGAAGCAAATTTATTTGATCGCGCTAAAATCGTCATGCAGGCCATATTGTCAAATCAGTCATTAGAGTGTATTTTTGACCTTGAAATGCTGCTCAAAGATGGCAAAACGCAAACTCGTTGTTACGAGAGCCTTGAAATGCTGCTAGAAGATGGCGAAACGTGAACTCGTGGTTGCAAGAACCTTGAAATCAAGAATTTCATGTACCCGACACCACCTAGGCTGGGCTCGATTTCCAGCCGTTTTGTGAGCCCATGTTCCTTGCCCCACATTGCCCGACCACCGTGCACACCTAGTTTCATCAAATCGAGAACGCTTCGCATACAACCACCACATTTCTTACTTTTTTTTTTAAATTCTTGTATGTATACACGTGGGGAATCCTAGGGTCCTCAGGTTTTGGCCTCTGGGCTAAGACCCTGCAGGGGCAATTATATGAAGTAAATTAATTATAATTAATTTTTATTAATTATTAATTATATGAAGTGCCTTACAGGACCTTTTTATTGCAAAATAACATTACATTACCATACAAAAATTATCAACATTGCTTGTGATATTTACTCTACTTACAGTGCTAACATAGCTTACAATACAACCAACAATACTATACAGAAACTTACATTTAGATAGCTACAATAAGTGGCATCTTGAGTCTTAAGTGCAAGCATAATGACATGTATACTGCATTCTGTTAACAAAGTTCTATTAAGAGGTCTGGCACATGTCAATGAAGTGAACCAAAGTAGATTTACAGTATATAATCATGACCAAGATGTGTTGGGTTATGGTACAATATCAAATGAATGTTTTCATAATATTTATGATAGTTTCACTGTTGGAGTAGCAGTTACTACAAGGAGGGACACGGAGGATGTACACCCCAATTTCAGAACGAAGTATATATTAATTTTCTGTGAACAGTAGATTTCATACTCACATCCCAAAAATGTTTTTTTTTTCAAGTTTGTCTTTTTCTCTGGCCTGTTGTATATTTAAAAATAAATGTCTTATAATAAATTATGTTGGGGTGGTATGATATTTATATAGGGACGTAATGATAAGGGAGGGGGGTTGCTGAGTTGCTTAGCAGGTTATCATTCAACTTTGAAAATCTTAAACACTGTGGTATGAAAAAGAAATCAAATATATCCTTAACCATTGCATCAGAATGTTGAAGAAACAAATAGAAATTATTGCTCATCTTGGACCCTACAATCTACAATAGAGGAATCACAATCCATCATTAGGTGTATGAAAGAAGAGACTGGCTCTCCTGGAGTTTGTGTAGCTGTGAGCATTGATGGGAAAACTGTGTGGAGTGAAGGATTTGGCTTTGCAGATGTAGAAAATAGAGTATTATGTTCCAGCAAAACTGTTATGAGAATTGCAAGCATTAGTAAACCTCTTACTGCAACAGCTGCAGGTGAGTGATGTGATTCCTTTTGTATGTAGTTCTTTTAAAATTGTTTGGGTGATATTTTGCAGGAAAAAGAACACTTAAGGCTAAGAGGTAGAAGAATGATATGTTCATGTTGTTAAATTAATATATTTAAGTACCTGTGATGATTATAAATAAATTTTGATAAATAATTAAAAGATTTTTTTTCAACAAAGAAATGAATTTTGATCATTATGTTTGTTTTATAACTACAGTGAAACCCCATTAATCCGGTCACCAATGGGCCACAAAAATCTGGCCGTATTAATGGGGTGGTGGCATTGAAGGGATTCTTAAAATAAGAAAATGACATGACTGAGTGTTTGTTCAGATTAATGTTGCAGTTCTTAGGGAGTAATGCTTTAATTATCCCGACAAACACAGGCAATAAACACGCGTTCTATGGCATAAAGGGGGGAACACCGCTCCGCAATCGGTGTGACAGACGAACTTCCATTGTGTGACCAAATGCCAAACTTATCTCCCCAGCGGTCAATTCTGCACTGGATCGGAGAAGTCGGTGAGGCCAAAAGCTTGCGCGTCTTATTAGCGTAACTCTAAACGGCACTACGAGCTGACCTCCGGTCAGCATCGTGCTAGAGTGTAGACAGTTCTCAAGCCTTACTTATCTCCCCAGCACTACGAGNGGGCTATTTAAAAGACTAGCCATACAAAACGCATGATATAGTTAAACCAGACGTTGTTGCAACATGCATACGTGAAAGGCTATTGTGAATATTGTTTAAACTAGACAAGAAAGACTTGTATAATGTTCTAACACGTAACAGTTCTATTGCGTTACGATTAACAACAGTAACCTAGTGACTGTACGTAAATAGCGTCACGCTCCATTAACTGCGCTTTAATGATTGACTTTAAAGCTTTAACAGAATAAAGTGGCCCTAACAACAAGGTGGGCGTATTAACAGGTTGGTGTACAGTGTATATCTGTTTTAATTTGTGAACACACTGCAATAATATCCAGGAAGGAAACCTTGTTAAAAATGCTAATTGTGACTGTCTATTATAAATTAAATAAAATCAAATGTAACAGGTAACATGCAAATAAATTGACGGAGTTGATGTCAGAGTTGTTCACAGACGGCTGAAATAACCAGTTATTCACAGGAACCCCAGTAAAGCAGTTGTTATGTCCACTCAATTCCATGGATAAGACAACTTCTAAGTTAACCGAAATGACTTCAGCATTCTTGACATTAAACCTCTGTGCTTACTTCATCAGCCAAACTATGGGAAGAAGGGAAGTTAGACCTTGATGTCCCAATTCAAAAGTATGTAGCTTCATTTCCTGAAAAGACCTTCAGAGGGACTCCGGTGACAATCACAACTAGACACCTACTCTCCCATCTTGGTGGAATAAGAGATTATAACAAAAATAAGTCATCTAATGAGGAGAGCAAGACAGAGAACCAGGTATATGCCATTGTTAAAAGTAAGCATTCTTTAATAATTATTATATTAATGTTGTGGCCCACAGTAACAACATAAAACTATTTGGTGGGCAATCTTGGGCAGGGAATGTACTGGTAAGGCTCAGATAAAGCCAACCTGCTGGATGCACTGACTGGATGAGGGGCCTCAGCACTTGGTGCCATGCAGAGGGGGTGCCCCATGCCTGTACTGCGGACATTGTTGCTGGAATAATGTCCTGGGACCAAGTTAACTCAGTCCGGAGTAACAGATGTCCCCTCCCTGATAGGGCTTGAGCACAGGGCTGAAGGGGTGCCACAGGCTGCAATTTCTCCAGCACAAACATTGAGTATGGTGAGAAAGTATCCAGTCTGTGGCCCATAAACTGAGTTAATGGCTGCAGCTCATGTTTTCTTCGTTTCCTTCATGTTCTCAAATGCCTGTCTTGTTTTATCACAGCGTAGTACACAGGGTAGGCTTCTTTATTTGTTATGTCTTATTTGTTGGTCACTCCTGGGTGAATAATGGTAACTCTGTTTATAATTATAGAAAGGGTTGGCCATGTTTTGTTCCATCTCTTAGTGATTACAGCTTGCTTTATTTTGAATGTTATATCATTACCGGTAATCAACAGAGTAAAAATAGCAATGCCCTCAAAGAACAGGTCATGGCATCTACTGATACAAGCCAGTCAGGTGAGTTTGTCATTGGTTGCAGTTAACTCTGTACAACTTCTTGTTCCTCCCTATTTTATCTTCATAGCTTACATGGAATAATGCTGCATGTACACATGTCAGGTGAACAACTGACTGAGTGTGTAGTTTTGTTCAACACAAGACTGTCATAGCAAATGGTTTGAACCCATGAGTATCAGTAGTTCATATAGTGTGATCGTCTGGGTGAGGGTAGTTCTGAAAAGAATTGTTGTTGGTGACTGACGTTTTGACAACCTGAGTGGAAGTCATCTTCAGAGTCAAGTGAATAGTGTTTGTCAGTTGGTGATGTTATAAGTCTGGTCCATCATGCAGGGCTCGAGACTAACGGTAGCCAACTAGCCACAGACTAGTAGAAATTCCATTTTGGCTAGTGGTTTTTGTGCTTTAATAGCCATTTTGGCTAGTGAAAATGAAAATTTGTGAGCACTGGGGCCCAGAGGAAACTACCGGTAATTAAAAGTTAATTTCAAATTTTTCACACAACGAAATCGAGTCAAAGCGTGCAGAATTTAAAATATCAGCTGTAATAAATATCATATATAATTTATTGGCCCAAACAAGAACTTTAAATTACTGAAATACGAAAGAATGATTGATTTTTTTGTTTGTTTTTTCCCTTAAGGTAGTGAAATATGAGATACAAAAACCCTCAACTTGTCGCGCAACATTGTTTTGTTGCAAGTTTTGGGTGGATGTTTCACATTTTTCACCTTGCGTGATCAACTTGTCGCTCCACAAAAACACGTGTTGCGGGTTGAAGAAAGTTGTTGCGAAAAGTAGAGGGCGGGTCTACTTTGTGCAACAAATTTTGGCTTTGTTGCTCGTTTTTCATCAAACTCAACTTGTTGCACAACGAATTTGCTCATGTTGCACGCAAGTTGAGGGTTTTGTTTCTCATATTTCACCGTCTTTAGTTAAAAGCGACGAATGACAAACGAACTGCTTGCCGCTAATGATAAGTCATGCATGAAATCATGCGGAACTCTAGGGATCATGTTTCATGCGTGCAGGATCTGGAGGTCACGTACGCTTTCTAAAAATTAAAAAATTCGCAGTTGTTCGAAAATTTGAATGATGCCATATAATATCGATGCCTATGTTTGCAACTTGTAAATAAAGTTAAGATAGAACAAATTGTCGTGTTCGTGAGAAATCGTGAATCAGCATTTTGAAAGAAAGGAAGCAAAAAATGCAGGGAAGCAAAAAATTTGGTTTTCGTTGTTGAGCGGTGCCTATAATTATAACATCGATGCCTATGCTTGCAAATGGCTGTGTCTGGCTGGTGAAAAATTTGTTTTGGCTAGTGAATCAATCCTGTCACTAGCCACTGGGCTAGCAAGCAGAAAAGTTAGTCTCGAGCCCTGATCATGGAAAAGTCGTTTGTAAGGTGCCGGTAGTTGTTGACATCTGTTAAGAGGCATTTGTTCTAGGTTAGTGTACCAGCTCTCCTGAGTCATTGAAAATAGTTTTTACTGTAGGTTAAGCACTGAGTAGAGTCCCAGTCAATGTTGTGGTTTGTCAGTTGATGATGTACGGCGATGTGATTGTTGGCATCACCATTTCTTGTGGCTTGTTTGTGTTCAGTCAGTCCCGTGTTAAGGTTTCTGCCAGTCTCACCAATGTGAGAAGCCTGGCAGTCGGAGCATGTGATCTTGTAAACTGCTCCCTGTCTGTTGTTAGGTTCATCCCTGTCTTTAACGTTGGTCAGTAAGTGTCGTAACGTAGTTGTAGGTTTGTGTAGCCCACAAACCTACAACTACAAACTATTTCCAGTGACTGACTCTGGAGAGCTGGTACACTAACCTAGAACAAACGCCTCTTAACAAATGTCAACAACTACAGGCGTCTTACAAACGACTTATCCATGATGGAAACGAAACCAACAAACGGACTTCTAACAGACCGACTTAATTTGATTAACAATAGATGGACCAAAAACCGACCAATTTGACTAAGTATAGATGGATCGAAACTGACCAATGACTGATGACGAACTTTACACGAGTCTTTCAGCCCATACCATCATGGCTAAACTGACCAATCACGTTCAACGGACCAGACTAATAACATCATTGACTGACAAACACTATTCACTTGACTCTGAAGATGACCTCTGCTCAGGTTGTCAGAATGTCAGTCACCAACAACAGTTCTTTTCAGAACTACCCTCACCCGGACAATCACACTATAGGAACTTAAAGACTGTCAGCTGTCTGGGGTAACAGTCTGCCAAGAATTTGAATGACTTTGCACAAACAGTCTGACTACCCCTACTAAAAAAAAATGGCATATTTCAATATACCAGACAAGTATAAATTTAAATTCCATCTTGGCTCTGAGGCTCAGGGAAGCAGTATGGTCAAGTGGTTAGGGTGCCAGACATGGAATCATGGCCCTTCCTGGCCACCGGCTGGCATTGTTTCATTGTAGATCACTTCAACTCCCAGGCCATGCTGCTCCTGCAACTTGGGATCAAATTTGTTATGTTTCAAGGCTCAAAATAACACAGTAAAGTTAACAGTCAATGTCCTGTCAAGAAGGCCATTGATCTGACTAACCCTTTGTTTGCCAGTCAATTTGACAGGTTAGGTGATCAGGTATAAAAAGTTAAATCATCAAATAGCTTTTAACCTTTTCAGTTTTAATTTTGAGTGGTCAAAATGGAGATGTGTTTGAGCAAAGATTTCTTGGCTAGTAACATACTAGCAACTGTCAAAAAAGGGTTTTGAGCCCTCTGTTTTTCATTTGCAATATTTGCTTGTAATGTCTTTATCATTATCCCCAATAAGAAGATATCGAAACCTATACAGACCAAGTTTTTTTCTGCGTTGTTGAGGTTTTGGGATGAATCAGTAAGTTCTTTTGTTTCTTTTCCCTGAGCTTTGCAACAAGTCATAATTTTACTATGTATTGAAATTGGCCTGTTAATGAATGGTCTACCATCAGTCTGATGACACACAGTCAACCAACAGCCTTTAAATTCTTGTCTTATGTGATTGTGGGATTATGTTATGGTTGTAGTAAATAAACACAGATTTCAATAAATTATTATTATTTATCATCATCATCATCATCAT